GAATTTATAAATATTTAAAGTGAATAAAGTATTACTCAAGCATTTTTATACTTTTTATTATTGATTTAAAACATTGATATCTGATGCTAAAATTTTTGATACTAGATATTAAAAAAAATTTTTGATTATTTATTAGCCAATACAGCCTTTCATTCTATATGAGGGTTGAATTTGATAAGGCGAAAAAATTTTTTTTGATTACTTATTGGCCAATACAGCCTTTCATTCTATATAAGAGTTGAATTTGATAAGGCAAAATATAGTGAATAGTTTTAATCTCCATTACTTACTAAATAGTAATGCAAAACCAATAATGATTTGGTGCAGTAATAAATAAATGTGAATATGAATAACCTATTTTTAAAAAACTAATTAGTCAGAGTTAGCTATATTCATAAATAATAAATATTCACAGAAAGAATAACTTATCTTAAAAACAATATTGTAAATGCATATTATAATACTGTTAATATCTATCTATCTGGAATAGATAAAGATTTTGTTTAAATATGATTATATTTAATGCACTTAAAAATTGTTTATCTTTTAAGCCTTCTAGAAACTAATAATATTCAGAGCAATTTGTAATAGCTTAGGTGTCTATCTCATGATTATAGAAATTTGATATAGCATCATACTAGTAGGGTTGTTAGTGAAGTGCTTCAGACAATAATAAAACATATAACCCACTTCAAAACACTCCAGAGATGGATTATATATTTTATTATAGACTAGAGTACTCTATTAACAACTCTACATACCAGTAGATAATTCAAGTATTAATGTAATCATAAACCTAAATGAAGTTAGATAAGTAAAGTTAATTAGCTTTTTAATTTAGAATTGTGACAGAATACTAATGATGTCTTTATTATTAAAAGCAAGTATTAAAAGGTCTAAATTTTTATTTAGTACTGAGCTATGATATTTAAGAGTAGCTGTTAATTTACTGTCTTACACTTGTATTTAGAAAAGCCTCTAGAACCAGATTGTATTGTAGAGGGTTATTTATTCTGAATTTCATACACTTGTTATACGATTTATTTATGCATAATATTCTAAGTATACTGTGTAACTGTTATATGTAATCATTTTTATAATGGTAACTGATTAGATTTCTAAATAATATTTATTAATCATCTATATATTTGCTATATGTATAATATTAAGATATGTGTAAAAAAAAAAATTCTATATATGTTCTATCTATATAATAGCTAAGATAATACTAAAAAGAAAAAAAACTCTTTATTCGAAATTATTAACCTTTTTTATTTTCAGTTTAATATACCAACTTTTTGTTTAATCCAACCTTTTAAACAAAGTGATGCACAGGCAGTTTGAGGATCAAGGCGATTACAAACTTTTGTGAGTATTTCTGCTGCAGTAGAAAAGCTTTCTCACACAGAACACTTGTTCCTTGGATTGAAAGAAAGCCACACACCATTTTTGCAAGTATTGGAAACTTATTCTTATTTTCAGCCTACTATAGGAAAAAATTACTTTTATTGGTTGTTGGCACAAATAAGTAGTGTTCTAACTTTTTCATTAAGGGTTGCTCGATTGTTTGTTGCTAAATTAATAATGATTTAAAAAACTTTCTTTTATTTTTAGATATCAATTTAGGTGTAGTTGTAGTTGTAGTTGTTGCTAAGACGTTATACTGAGTTATAGTATTTCTTAAACTAGTAAGGGCAGCATCTTTTTCATTATCATTAGAAAAAGTCAAAAGCTTAAATGAGGGATTAAGAATTGTTGTAATTATAGTTGATTCTTCAAGTATAAACCAATATTCATTTAGCTTAGACCTAAAGGAGCTTCTGTAAATCAGGTGATTTGCATTTATTATAGAGTATTACTCACCCACCCACACCTAATAAATGATATACCATATAAAATTTTTCTAATGCTATATATATATTATATTACCTGATAGTTTTGCCGACCCACCCACCCACTTAAAAATCATCTGATTTCCAGAAGCTCCCTAATAGAATCTGCCATTATATACTGCTCTGTAATTTGTGATTTATTATCTATAAATTTGCTAAGATGATGAAGAAGTCCCAAAAAAGTTAAACAAATATCAGAGACAGTTGGATATGAGCTTGAGGATAATAATTCTATTGCAATAAGCATGGGCTCTAACAATTTAACTATATTATCTATGACCTCCTATTCTTCATCATTAAGATAATTATTTTTTAGTTATTTTTTATGTGCAGTTACAACTAAATTTAACTCATTATGCATTTTTTTAAATTTATAAAGCATGTTGTAGATACTGTTCTAGCACATATATATATCAGAAGTTGGTTTGATATAGCTTTTTTGATTCATATCACAAAATTGACGAAGGGCATTGCATAAAACAGTTGAGTACCTAATTTTGTTTACAAAATTTCTAACTTTTACAATTACCAAGGTTTTAAGCTCCATTCCATTAAAAACTACGTCATGCAAGAAAGTTGCCTGATCTTGATTCAATAGGAATTCAAACATTGAATTGGTAAAATTA